TTTGATGCCTTTATCTTTTATATTAAGATATGTGGTTGACATGAAAGCATTAGCCACAGTATGGGAAAGCAAACATAAATTCTTTGTTCTTGACACTTCACTTCCTCTTAGTGCTTAGTAAATTTAGAATCTAAATAATAGTTGAAAGAGATATTTCCCACTCCAAAAAGATAACCTTTTTTGAATCTTTTTTTATCTATAGCTAGCAACTAGGTGTATTATAAACAAAAAAAGAAAAAAAACAAAAAAAAACTACTTTATAGCCATAAAAAAACAAAAAGTAAGTTAATGTCACAAACCAAGGTATATCATAGTATATGCAATAGTTCTAAATAAATTTTTTTATTTCATTCTATATACGCCTCCACTTCATAAATTTATAGAAAAATCCGTAGTTGTTTTAAGGTTTAATTATGCTTTTATGTCTTGAATTTAGTATAACTCTAAATTTGATTCCCTAAGTTAAAAAAAAACATTTTGTAGCTTCTTAAATTTCATATATGGCTATAATCTCTAAACAATCAATATAATGTATTAAAAATCATTTTAAATAAAATATATTAACATTAAGAGATTAAAAACATAATTATATTTGGAAATACGATTGTACATATCCGCAAACTCAATATTATTGTTAGTTTGATATAATTTGAGAGATACAATAGTAGAATGTCCATTATTATATAATATGTAACTAATAATTATCTATTCATTATTATTTGAAGAGACATTATCATAATCATTAATATATTATTTATATCTATGGACTTTAAAAAGTTTATAAAAGCATTCATGTCAGATAAAATATTCACTCAATACTTAATATTAGTTTATATTTTACATTATTTTACATTATCTTTCATGATTTTGCTTCATCAAATTTTAGATAAGAAGAACGATTATTATAAATGTCAAAAAGTAAATATACAATTAGAAAAAAAACTTAAAGTATGAAATAGTAATTAAAACTTTTAAGTATAAACAAGGATCTCCGCAAAACAAAAATTATAAAAAACATTTTGCTTATGCTTTTGTCAAAACATAATTAAATGTCTATTAATTAAGGATAACAAAATGAATTCTTATTGTCAGTATTGACTGAACCTATTTTTCCATTTTTTATAAAAAAATCTCCACATGATTGTGTATGGTGTGCATAGTTGTTTCGTTCTTTGTCTTGTACACGTTCTAATACACACTCATTTGGTTCCTTAATTTATTAAATAATCCAAAACTTTTATCAATTTTTCTTTGTTCTCAGTTGCATAAAACATATATTTTATGATTTTTATTCTTTTTTATAATTAACTACCTATCCTTTATCCAATTGTTCTTTAATACTTTTTATTATATTTTAGATTATTATAGTTTATTTCTTTATATTTAATACTAAAGAAAATAAAATGTCTATTTTTTAACATTAAATACTTTATATCAATATGTTTTCTAGTTGTGTTTTTTATTTTTTATAAAAAAAATATTTAATTAATATTTAGAATATTAAAGTGGTGAATGAATGCATGTATACTTAGGTATATGTATTTTCCATGAAAATTAACATGACACAAATTTCATACGAGCATAAATTTTTATTTGAGAAATTGGAATTCCCCAGTCAAATCCACACATTACTCAAACCCTCCCATTATGCCTAGTGCCTATACTTTTATATCAATCGAATAATTTGGTTTTTAAACTTTAAAAAACCTAAAAAAAGTACATATCATGCTTACATATTTTATAAAATTCAAGAAAAACATTACAGACATCATTGTATAACAAATTTAGACTGATTACACAGTAAAATTCTTCATTTGAAAGTAGCTTTGAGTATAAGCTGAAAGCAAGTGCATGAAAGAAAGTAAGATGAGAGGTCCACCACTGAGTTGATTATAACCCTACATGGATCATGCTTATCCGAAGAATATATGAAGGAAAAACCCCACTTTCCATGTCTTCTTGGGTAACCCTAACATATTTCCATGTCCACAGAAACACACACATGCATGCTTAACTGGGGCCACTTTCAAACAAAACCGAGTTCAACGAGGTACAACATGTAATTTATATATTATAAACGAATGTCTGTCTTCTATCTTTTTCTTCTTTCCTCTGTTAGATAAGGGTTTTTTGTTTGTTGTTGAACACGTTGGGGTGAACGTGAAAAAATATCTTTATTTTAGCTTTGTTTTTACTTTGACTCTTCCTTAATTATATATATATAACTATTTTATTTATTTATTTATTTATTTTCTGTAGTGTATGAAGCTGGCATATATGCCAATACCAAGACAATACTGTTGTCATTTCATGAAGTGCTCCAACCATAGCCAGGGTATCCATTTTTGTATGATGCTTTTAAGGCATAACCACCAATGTGAATGTGATCCTCGTTTGAACAGATAAGATTCACTCACTAGCTTCCTGTTTAAGTCTTTATTTAAAAAAAGTGTTCTAATTCGAAAAATATTTATAATATATAACTAGCTACCATCATCATTATACAAATTAATTTAACAAGTAGAATATATCTTAATAAAATTTACTGTAGGCTAATTTATTGTTTCATTCATTATCAAATCGTTATTGTATTTTCTATTTTTTTTATCTCAAATACGATATGTATATGTCGTAATGTAAAAAAAATGTTGAAAACCTGCGTCGAGTAAAAAAAATGTTGAAAACCTTAACTATTACACCATTTTTAAGAGATTATTATGTGTAAGGTTGTATTCAATATATTATTTATTTTAAATTTAGCCTTAACTATTACACCATTTATATTTATTAAAACAAATGGCAATTAAAGTGTAAAAAGAACTATGAGGTCCGTCTTTGAATCCACATCTCCATTTTCCTTAATTTAAAACAAACAAAAAAAAAGGAGGGTTTTAATTATCTTTGAAAATCCTTAGTTTTTAAAGTTCAAATAGTTTAAAGTCAAATTTATTTAAACTTAAAAGTGGGAAGTGAAAATGGTTTATTTATTTATTTATTTTTACCATTATTATTGATTTTTGTGTACTTGGAAAAAAGTGTTTGATAAATTGAGTATTCCGGAGCAGTGATTAGCGGAATTTGGCAGAATGCATTGTTGAGTCATTCACTTGACTCGGTTGTGTCAATTTCATTTGCCCCACTCCACATGCCAAATGCCACGTGTCATTTTTACACTTCCAAATTTTCATTTCAAGTCTCAAATTACAGTAAAGAAAGTAAAAAAAAAAATATATATATATATATATATATATATATATATATATATATATATATATATATATATATATTATTCTTATACGTACAAAAAATTTTATATTCTTTATATGTATTCTCCTTTCATACTTCTAAAAGGTTTGAAATTGAATCTAGACTTAATATGTTTTATTTTTTCTGAAAAAAATAGTCAATTTTATCGATATATAAGTTTAAATTTTTTCAATTACCTTAAAAAAAGGATTAATTTGATTATGTTATTAGGCATCACATTAGCAAAATATTGTTATAGTGAAGAATAGTATTATGTTAAATTATGAGCTTTTATGTCAATAAAAATGTCACATTAGGATTCAAAATAAAAAAATACATTAAAAAAGTTATATATTTATAAAAATACAATGAAAGTTGTAAGTCTTAATTATCCGGGTCAAGCTTTTGGTTCGAGTTATTTTTAACTTTTGAAACTTTTTTAAATTTTATTTTTTTATTCTTTTTCCACCTTTCATCATCTTTTAACGTTTTCCTCCATTTATTTTTATCTTTTACTACTTTCCTTCACCAAACATAAATTAAAATAAAACAATTATACAAAGGTTTAGCATATAAAACCAAATTACTAATTAAATATTCTTTTGTCTGTTATATAAGTATTTCAAGTGTTAAATATAAAAAAAAGTATAGTAATTAGGTGATAATTTTTTTAGTAATATTAATAATAAGATATTATATCAATGCGATGTTCTTTTTATTTTCACAATAAAAGATGAGTTACTTACATAGATTAAATTTTGAAACTAAAAAATAAAAAGTAAAAAAATTGTACACGATGTAAAGTTTCTTTGTTTGAGAGATGGCCCTTGAGCCAGCCATTCAAGCACGAAATTGCAAACCTTTTAAATCACTTTTTTTTTACAAAAGGTTGGATAAATTATTGATTTTTTCTATCCTAATAAGAAAAACAAACAAGTATTTTCTTTTCTACGACGTTAAAAATAATTTGGCTTTTAAAATTCAATCCTGAAATGGAATTTTTAATATTTTAATATTATATCTAATTGTAATTTTTTTTAAAAACATAATTTTTGTGGTATTTACAATTTTTAAGTATTGAAAAACATATTATAATATTCAATAAAAAATTAAAACTAAACAACACTCAAATAAGTTTCAATTTCTTAATCTGCTATTCTTTTCAGCTTCTTAAATTCCCATGAGTTAAATATAAATATCTGTCATTCTAAATTTCCCTTTCAATCAACCTCCTTGTCACACATGATTTGGTGTTTATATAATTGATTTTGAAGCATTAAATGTGATGAAGATATGCATCCAGATTAGTCTCATCCACATATTCCATAAAGATCATGAAATTTAGTAGGAATGCAGCAACATCAAATTGCCCATATCCTCACCAATCACCTTCGTTGTAAAGATTTAGATATAATCATTGAAATACGAGAATTTGGTGAGGGAACAGTGTTATTATAATAAGGGAATGTTAGATAAGAATCACATGCTCCAAATTATTTATTTCATCTCTGAAACAATCCTGCCTTTAGTCCATGTTCCTTGTCAGAATACATGTGATAAACTGATATCAGCATATTTCTGGAATTAACGCATTAAAGAAACTGTTGGATAATGTTCTACATGATCAGCCAAATTCTCCAAAAAAAAGAAAATAATCACTGACAGAATATATAGAACACTGAGAGCACAGAAGGAACTGGTATTGAAACAACACAACATGGTACAAAAAAAATCTATGTAGCATTAACCAAAAGTGATGTCCAATATAAGTAAACATAGATTCAAATAAATATATGGGGTAGAAAATATGAGATTTCACTACAGTCTACAATTCAATGAAGGTTATACATGGTAACATACTATGACTACAGGCAACTCAATGATGAATGCCGATTGCAGAGAAGCCTATACACAGAGCTATAGACAACTGAGTGTGTCAAATGATATAACTGTTTTGGGTGGACATGGTGGAAAAAAACACAGATCCACTTTGTTTATGATTTAGATTTAGTTTCACTATGTTGTTGTCTTGATGATTTTTCAGGCACCAATTGCCTGTCCACGGAATGCAGATGCACTTTTTTGCATTGGCAGCAAGACATCATGTGCCAGGCATATTGTTGCCTGTGCTGGAAAGAATTATGAAGGCACACACAACTGAAAGTGAGAAGACTGATAACCAGGTGTTCTCTGTGTACATTTCCATTGCATCTGTGAAAGAAAACCGGGCCCGATCTTCGGCCCAGTTACGCAATCGGTCTGCTTCGGCTGCATACAATGCTCTTCCCTGAAACACACACATGGCTGTAAGTTTTTGCTCAATCATGTATATGTGCATGCCTAATCCTTCAGCTGCTACTGTTATGTTTTGAACAAAGTACATTTGAAACTGTTTGAAACTTTTTATTTTTGTGAAGTACACCGTGTAATGAATGTTTGCATTAACATAACATGATAACATGTTTTAATCTTCACCTGATCATCAAACCAGCGACCTCGCCGTAACCAGGCAGTGACCAAAGCGAGTAAGATTCTGGGAGGGGTCAAGTAATTGATGGCTTTGCCTGTTCCCTTGACAACCCGCATTCGTGGAACTAATGTTCTAGCAACAGTTTCTGGAAGCTCACAGATGATGTTAAACATCTGCCTGTTTTGGACAGTTGAACCACTGAAAAAGACATAACACATTTATTGAATGATACTTCTAAGATGTATGATCATAGAAAGCTGTGAAGTGAACACAAGAAAGTTCTTAGCTGAGGGGAAAAAGTGACCAACTATGTTATGTTCTAACAAATAGATAGTTCTTATAAGAACAACGAGGACCACCAGAAAAAAAGATTGGAACTTTAACATTAGCAGGACAAGGGAAGTGATCCTGCAAAAAACCCACTTAAAGGACCAAGTTAAAACAGGTTTACCAAAGAGAAATACCTTAAAAGCAGATCTGTAAGAACCATGCCTGGAGATGCAGTATGGACACCTACTTTGGATCGCTTGCACTCCTTTAAAAGTGATCCCTGAAGTTGCCTGAGGCCACACTTTGTAGAACCATATCTACATGTTAATTGAAAAAGAAGATAGGTAAGAATCATTAGCAATCACCATCTACTTTACTTTTGAAGATCATTTATATATATATATATATATATATATATATATATATATATTTCTGAGAGTTCTGCAAAAGCTTAGTGGAATCATCAGCTTCCTCCCATAGGAGAAGCTGCAAGCTACTCACACAGCAGTCAAAGGTGTGCTGGAGCCTCCAGAACCTGCACCATCCATGTTAAATATGTGACCTGCATTGGCTTGGTTTCTCATCACACGCATGGCTTCTCGTGTACAAAGAATAGATCCAACCAAATTTGTTGAGACAATCTGCAACATATATAAACCAATGAATTTAATAAAATAAGGCTAAAGACTAAAAATGATTATTTGGAGATAACACTTTTACATCTCAGTCTCAACACTGAATGAATGACTATTAAATTCAGCAAGATTATAAACACATACCTGTTTAATATCTTCGTCACTAAACTGAAGCAATGGTCTAAAACCTTTATTTGTTCCGGCGTTATTTATCTGTACAATAGTTTTGATATGATAAATGAAAGAGATTAGAACCAGAAACATAAAAACTGCTTTCTGCAATGGAAAAATTAAACTTCACTGAAGGGATAACAAGCATATTAGTAGAGTAAATTGGCACATCAGTTCCTTATCTCCAAGGCTAATCTTCATCAAAATACTGAAGGTAGACAGACAGACACACCATTTATTGGTTTTTGATTACCTATACTAGAATGTAAATATCATACAAAACGATTAAAAGTAATTCTTTTATATGATCATATTTCAATTTATGCACAGCACTGGAAGTGACAAGATGAATATAAATACTAGAGATTTTGATTGATAGTCAAGTTTTGCAGCTGCCAAAACTTTAATAGTTTTCATGTATTACCTTCAACCAATAGTTGGTATTCATGTTAAGGTTTTATTATTGCGTGCCATAATTGGTTAGATTCCATATGCACTTTTCTTGTATTATTCATGAAACCTGATGATGCTCAACGACAACAACCACAACACTTACCCAGATATCAACATAACCAAGTTCTTTGACAGCAAAGTCTGCCAATCTCTGCACATCATGAGGCTCACAAACATCACAAGCAATGCCTACCACCTTTGCATGAGAAAGTTTTGTCAGTGATGAACCAACTGAATTGGCAATGCCTTCCTTCAGATTTTCCTCAAGCTCTTTAACAGTTGCTTGCACAGACTCGAGGCTGCCTTCACAAAAATGAGAGAGTGGGAGCAACAACATGCTGTGAGTAAAATGTAGACAAAAGCCACAAAACATATTATTCCAATCTCTGTAAAATGTTTTCATAGTTGGAAACACCACCTTCGAGAGGTAACAATCACACGATCTCCAGAAAGAAGAAACTCTCGAGCTAAGGCTTTCCCCAATCCCCTTGTACTGCGCAAACCATTAACAAGATGAATTAAACAATGTCATAAAAACATTACCACATGTCATTAGATATCATCAAAGTAAACAATTCACAAAGTCATATGTTCCTCTAATGATAATATATATATAAGACATCACAGGTTCATTAAATAGAAAATAATTATGGTAATCACTTACAGAAGAAAGGGATTAAGTAACCATACCTCCCTGTTATGACAACATTACGCGGACCAGCACGACAATGTTCCTCCAGCACCATGTTAGCACCTATCATTGTTCCAATGATCACTCCTCCTAGCCAACTGTACCAAATCAATGCATCCATTTGACTGTCTCCACCTTCACAAAACTCAGAAAAATTAACATCTGCTTTTCGAACCAATGCATAACAAATTAACAGCTAGAAAAGTTGCATATAGACCAACCTGACATCTGAAATCCGATCGAAAGGATGACCCCAGTGCTCATCATGGTCACAATATACCTTCCAATTTGAATGGCAATCTTGTTTTTGCCAACACACAAACACAGTTACGTTTAGCATTCAACAAAACACAGTATTAATTAACCCATAAAAAAATAAACACAGTAACACACCAGAATAGTTGGAACAGCAGAAACAAGAACTTACCGAGGATAGCAGACCCTCCACCTTCACCACAGCTTGGCGATACTCATCGTCTGATTTTGAACCCACCATGAAATTCCTCAACAAGATAGACTGGAGCGAACTCCAAAACCCACTTTCCCTTTTGGAATTCACTTCACTTTTCTTCAAATTTCGAGACTTTTTCTCCTTCGCATCCCCACCATCTTCAGTCCTGAAGGCCCTGCACTCTCTCACAGAGAACCGATCACAATCATGGCCAAAACCAAGCACCCCGGGAGAAGGGCACGAGCCAAAACCCCTCCTGAAAAACCTTGTTTTGTGCCTGTTCAAACTATCCGGGAAAACGTGAAGCTTGACAACTGCCGCCATGGATGTGGTGATAGAATATCTGAAGATGCAAAGTTCATGAAAATGGATAGTGAGAAGTGCTGTATACGATGTGGCTTTATTTATTGTTATCTTTTTGGTGAAAACTGAAAACTAAGTTTTTGTAAGCTTGCTGGTGGAGAAAAATATCAGACGAAGCTAGATCGAAGGAAATGTAACTAGAAACGTAACAAGGAACATAGTAGAGTGTGATGACCACACGTTGAAGCAACCTAATCTTCATTGGTTAAAGACACGTGGCATTGTGGGTCTGCGACCACCTCACTTTTCATTTCTCCTTCGATCTTTTCGAATTTATCTTAGATTACACAAAGGACAATAACAATATTTTTCATTTTCAACATCGAAACAAATCTTCAGTTGTTTAAATAATTTTATATTCATATTATACACTTTTTCTTTGTTAAACATGTTTTTGTAAAACCATCTAACAAAAATACTTGAATTTTTCACCTTATTTTATTTATCAATTAATAATTATTTATGACTAGTTCGGCTTCATTTTTAGGTGGGTTAGGTCAATAGTATCCAACCCATTAGCCTGTGTGGTTAGCCTCATTCCAGTACACCAAGAACACACAATAGGTCCAGATGGATTAGCATGTCAAATCTAGTTTCATTATTAAGGAATAAATAACTAAAATTAGGTTCTATAAAAAAAATTAGGTAAAATTGGTATTCCAAAATATTATAAGATCTCATATTATTACTTTATCTTGTTATAAACAAAGTAATGCCATGTTTGAGACCTGATATTTCATGTTTGATGATAATTTATAAAACTTTGTATCTCAACTAATCCTTGTTAATAAATTAGGAGAATAAGGAGAAGAAGCTGCATTCATAATAAATTAGGAGAGAATAATAGCAAACACAACTAAGAAAGTATAAAGTTAATTGATAAATTAAAAATAATAAGATAAAAATATTTGTTTAAAAGTAATTGTTGTATCATTCAATTAATGAGATAACTGGATAAATGAAATATATTATAAATATTTAATAAAATTTGTAATAAAAAATTAATTAAAAATATTTAAGTTTATAAGATATTAAGGCTTAAAATAATCTTTAAAATTGATTAAATATTAGGATACATGATTAACTAATGATTTCTACTTTGAACTTATTACATCACATAAATGTTTCTTCAGCGTAGTAGTATTCTTACAAGTGTTAATGTGTGACTTTTGGTCTATTTTTAATTGTGTGAATTTAATTAACTAAGTTTTTAGGTTAAATTATTCTATAGGTTTTGGGACCATTTAACTAATTTAAATTAGATCCTAAAACTATTTTTGTCCAGATCTTTGAATGTGCAGTTTATATATATATATATATATATAGTGAGTAAAAATGTTAGAAAGAATTAATACAAAAATCACTTAAAGTTCATAATTCACGTAATGTATACATCCCAATAATAGCAATCTACCATTAATTAGAACCTAATCACATTCACGAATTATCAGCTGCATCCTTAACACAACAGCTATTAAGATAGCCGAACGTAACGATAGAGACAGGGTCCGGCGATCTTATCTACAAAATATCAAGCTCTGGGAACCAACGGTTTCACTAAATAACATATCGATACGTCCCAAAATACAATCCAAAAACACGAACACAGCTAATATATACTGAACGAGCGCTCTAGGCTCGGCTTTAACTCTACTTAACAGGATTGTCGGCTTCCAAATTTCTTCTTCCAGCATTTCTTTAATGTGGCGCCTCTCTCCGTTCTGCTCACATCCACACGGATTTCATTGCATTGACAAGTCACAAACGTAGCACAACATTAGACAACACAACGAATTGCAAGGGTAAGCTGAGGGAATTTAATTCATCACCCAATATAAATCCTACATATAAATCAAAAAACCATACACATAACACTATCAAAGCTAGAATATACCACTCTCCAATTCTCATAAACTAACGACCGTCCGACTGTATGAATCCCAGTACTACAGGCATTTCTGCAACCGTGCAGGTGATGTAAGTAAACTGGAAAAGTCCATCCACTGTGCCACCCCGAGTTAACCCTATCATTCCAAGTCGCTCAATAGATAAGTGCCCCTCCTGCCATTCCCACATCGACCTTCCTCCCTCTACATGAGGACGAGCACTCAGCGCCATATCATTGCCTCCTTCTATCCAATCCTTCTCTCTCCTCGATGAACAGCCATCAGCACAAAAGCTTTAACCATGGGCATACACAACATAATTTTCTCATATTCAAAATCAATGGAGAACGTTCCTTCCTTGGACACGCTCGTTCAAAAATCCACTTCCATAATTCACTCAAAATAACTCGACCGCAACATTTAACCAGTTTCTCTTTTCACATGTTCATTCTGTGTTCCCACTTTCAAATTACAAGCGTTCAGTCCTTTAACTATACGGACGAACGTATTACATACAGTACAGTGACTACACGTTTTCTCAAAGAGATGAACCCTTGTCTCTAACGGACGTTATGAGTATTTTAAAAACATACACGTTCATGAAAATTGATTCTAATAGTCTGAATAATACTTAGAAAAATTTTAAAGTTATAAAGACTCTAGGTTCTGAATCAAAAGGATAAATACATTCAAATTATTTACTAAACACCAGAGTATGATTTTTCAGACAGACCACACTCTGCCAGTCATGACCGAACGTGCATTTCATAATTTGGACGAACGCTATTTACGTTCGCTCAGTGAATCATGATAAGGACCGAGCGTTCAGTTCATAAAACCGAAAACTCTGCTTAGGACGAACGCTAGGTAATGGACCGAGCACTAATAGAACGACGCCTCGATATAAGAACCGAGCGCTTCATTTGGACGGATACGCTCAGTATAAGACAGCGCCTACCTATCGAACTCGGGAATATAAACCAGCGTGTTCAATATACGTCAAATGTATTTCACCCGTTGGGCGACTCACACGCTTAGGCTGAGCTCCGAACGCTCAAACCTAACCCTTCACACCCTGACCTCGGTGTCTAATCAAGGATCCCTTTCAATGAAAGAATTCTATTCTAATTATTTTCAAGGGAAACCGAAACGTATAAGAACGCGTCTCTAGTGACCGAGCGTGGCCATACCAAGCGAGACTTTGAGATTTTTCCTCGATTTTTCTTACAATACTTCATAACTGCACAGTTTTCATACGATTCCATAACTTATAATTCTTCTCTTCCACCATAAATCTCATACATTACGAATTCCTTATTATCATCTCTTACCATACAGAAATTAATTCATTTTTCCAAATCATATTTTCCGATCCTCAACATACAGTTCAACCAATATCATTCAGATCCATCCATTACACACAATCGTTCAATTGCATATTTTAATATCATACAGTTCATTATCCAGTACCTTTTCCATGCGTTTCCTCATCACACACACCCCATGCAATTATCAATAAATTACTAAAGCCTCCCCTTAACCTGGTCCTAGAGTGACTCCCAAAATCAAGGGTTTCGCTCTCGTTCCCTCCCCTCACAGCTTTCTTTCTACCCAAAGAATCACGCCAAACTTCCACTTAATCTATTACAGACAAGGAGAAAAGAGAAAAAAACAACAAAACCAAATCATAACATCTCAGCTCTTAACCCATGCATGCAACCAGAATGTTGGTTTCGCTGACCTAATTGGGACGATGTGCAGAGACGAGACTTATACCAAGTTTCATATCTCAGTTTTGTTCGCGTTCAGGAACTATGCTCACGGGTGCAGGAATGTTTCTAATACGGCTTCTTGAAATGGAAATCGGAGTATAGTGACGTTTAGTCTTATCTTAGATATAGATATTAAGAGTTTTTAGAGAGAAGCTGGATAAAAAGAAAAGGCCAAGATTTTCTGAGGAAAGAAGGTGATGCCCTGCATAGAATTGGGAAGAGTCTTTTTTAGAACACAATTCTTCCCTCCCACGCAACGAACGCCATTCTCCACACTCCATTGTTCTTCCACTAAACGTTTTTCAAACGTTCAGCCCACGACACTGGCGATACATGCAGAGAACAGTGAGTGGGTTTTGACGTGGCACGGTGCAATTAATGGTGATCAGAGTGTGGGATTTGGTGCGTTAATTAATCAGGACTTCACACGTAACATAAGTTGACCACGTGTTACTTAATATTTGAATTCAAATCCCTTTTTAAACTTAATATTTTAAATAAAATTGTCATTTTAACTGTTGATATATCAACTTATTGAATTTAATTCCAACATTATTTGGAACAGAGTGGGTTAAGGTCTAATCGTGTATACCTAACGGTTGCGGTCCAAATAGGCAATATTTTTTCTTTTCATCTTTTCTTTGACAGCATTAAGATATTCATTTTGTAATTTTTATTTAAATGTTAAATTCATTTTTGTTACTTTTATTCATATTTTTTTATAATTTAAAAGATTAATTATTATAATAAAATTATTTTTTATTCTAAATGTAGAAGATTCACGTCAACTAAAATTTAAATGTTACTAAATTTTTTTATCATGTTATATCATCATATTTTAATAGATTTTTTTTCAAGAGTTATATATTAAATTTAAGATTATAATTAACATTTTTACATGTTTTAAGACTTGACTTTTTAGATTAATTTTATTTAATAAATTGTTTCATATTTTGATTCTCTTCGGTCTAACTTCAACTTTTTTTTTATCATATTTTGAGGCTGTTTTTCAAACCCAAATAAATAAGACCAATAAAATAAAGTAGACAACTTACATCCTTGGTTTGGGAGTTGCTCCCGAAGGGGGGGCACGGAAGGGGGGAAGGGAGGCCAGGGGGGGGGGGGGGGGGGGGGAGTGGGGCACACCCCCACTAACAGGGGAGGCTCGGGGGTGCGACGTGGGGACTGGGCGAAAGGGGTGGGGGGGGGACAGCCACGTACGAGAAGGGGACAACGGACAGCGCGGAATCCCCCTGGACTGCGTGTATTTATGACCCATTCTAACTCAGACACAACCTAGGGTTCAGTTTACTATGGTGCACCTCAGTAACATTTTATTTTAAAAAATTGTTTTTTTGTAATTTTTTCATTTATAACATATTTCACTGAACCTACGTAGTTCCCTTGTGAGTAAAATATTTTCTGCAAGTTTGGTATCGTGCAAAGAATATCAAGCAAATCTTCCTCTTGGTCTCCTCGGGGCAGTAACGTGGTGCAGTGCGTTTTGGTGTAGTGTCCTTATTGTGGGTCCTCTCCAGTACGTAGTCATATCCTTCCTATAATTCCCAACCCTAACTTGCCCATACTGTCCATAATCTTTTAATATCAAGCATATATCTTTGCAATGATCAGTCAAATAAAAACCGAAACGTAAAAGGAACGGTGGACGATACATCCTTTCAACGGATGTCACATCCAGTGAAGGGCGAAACGGATGTCGACGATCCGTTTTGCCTTCAACGGATGTTTACATCCGTTGAAGGATAAGACGTTTCCTTTTACTTTCGTTTTTATTTTAATTTGTTTATTTTTATTTACCCCGTAACTGTAGATTTAAAATTTATAATTTTAAATGTTAATATATGGTTAGTTTCTTTTTATTTTATTGTTTTATTTTTTATTTACAGTAACTTAATTTTGAAATTTCATAATTTTAAATGGTTATTTCTGGTTAGTTTTTAAACGCCTACATTTTGTTCAATATGCATTTGTTTAGATGACTTTTTGTATCTTTACTTCTTTCTCTTTTATATTTATCTAACAATTTTATAACTATTCAAATCAACTACTCTAAGTCAAAATAAAATTTAAAAACTTTAACAATAAATATATCTATATATACATATATATTTCAGTTATAATAATTTAAAAACACTTACAACAAGTAAAAAATCAGCAGAGCCGAAACGGATGTGGGATATCCGATTGGCCTTCAACGGATATCCCACATCCGTCGACGGAAGTCGACATCCGTCGAAGGCAACATGCTGTGAGTAAAATGTAGANCAACATGCTGTGAGTAAAATGTAGACAAAAGCCACAAAACATATTATTCCAATCTCTGTAAAATGTTTTCATAGTTGGAAACACCACCTTCGAGAGGTAACAATCACACGATCTCCAGAAAGAAGAAACTCTCGAGCTAAGGCTTTCCCCAATCCCCTTGTACTGCGCAAACCATTAACAAGATGAATTAAACAACGTCATAAAAACATTACCACATGTCATTAGATATCATCAAAGTAAACAATTCACAAAGTCATATGTTCCTGAATGATAATATATATATATATATATATATATATATATAAAAGACATCACAGGTTCATTAAATAGAAAATAATTATGGTAATCACTTACAGAAGAAAGGGATTAAGTAACCATACCTCCCTGTTATGACAACATTACGCGGACCAGCACGACAATGTTCCTCCAGCACCATGTTAGCACCTATCATTGTTCCAATGATCACTCCTCCTAGCCAACTGTACCAAATCAATGCATCCATTTGACTGTCTCCACCTTCACAAAACTCAGAAAAATTAACATCTGCTTTTCGAACCAATGCATAACAAATTAACAGCTAGAAAAGTTGCATATAGACCAACCTGACATCTGAAATCCGATCGAAAGGATGACCCCAGTGCTCATCATGGTCACAATATACCTTCCAATTTGAATGGCAATCTTGTTTTTGCCAACACACAAACACAGTTACGTTTAGCATTCAACAAAACACAGTATTAATTAACCCATAAAAAAATAAACACAGTAACACACCAGAATAGTTGGAACAGCAGAAACAAGAACTTACCGAGGATAGCAGACCCTCCACCTTCACCACAGCTTGGCGATACTCATCGTCTGATTTTGAACCCACCATGAAATTCCTCAACAAGATAGACTGGAGAGAACTCCAAAACCCACTTTCCCTTTTGGAATTCACTTCACTTTTCTTCAAATTTCGAGACTTTTTCTCCTTCGCATCCCCACCATCTTCAGTCCTGAAGGCCCTGCACTCTCTCACAGAGAACCGATCACAATCATGGCCAAAACCAAGCACCCCGGGAGAAGGGCACGAGCCAAAACCCCTCCTGAAAAACCTTGTTTTGTGCCTGTTCAAAATATCCGGGAAAACGTGAAGCTTGACAACTGCCGCCATGGATGTGGTGATAGAATATCTGAAGATGCAAAGTTCATGAAAATGGATAGTGAGAAGTGCTGTATACGATGTGGCTTTATTTATTGTTATCTTTTTGGTGAAAACTGAAAACTAAGTTTTTGTAAGCTTGCTGGTGGAGAAAAATATCAGACGAAGCTAGATCGAAGGAAATGTAACTAGAAACGTAACAAGGAACATAGTAGAGTGTGATGACCACACGTTGAAGCAACCTAATCTTCATTGGTTAAAGACACGTGGCATTGTGGGTCTGCGACCACCTCACTTTTCATTTCTCCTTCGATCTTTTCGAATTTATCTTAGATTACACAAAGGACAATAACAATATTTTTCATTTTCAACATCGAAACAAATCTTCAGTTGTTTAAATAATTTTATATTCATATTATACACTTTTTCTTTGTTAAACATGTTTTTGTAAAACCATCTAACAAAAATACTTGAATTTTTCACCTTATTTTATTTATCAATTAATAATTATTTATGACTAGTTCGGCTTCATTTTTAGGTGGGTTAGGTCAATAGTATCCAACCCATTAGCCTGTGTGGTTAGCCTCATTCCAGTACACCAAGAACACACAATAGGTCCAGATGGATTAGCATGTCAAATCTAGTTTCATTATTAAGGAATAAATAACTAAAATTAGGTTCTATAAAAAAAATTAGGTAAAATTGGTATTCCAAAATATTATAAGATCTCATATTATTACTTTATCTTGTTATAAACAAAGTAATGCCATGTTTGAGACCTGATATTTCATGTTTGATGATAATTTATAAAACTTTGTATCTCAACTAATCCTTGTTAATAAATTAGGAGAATAAGGAGAAGAAGCTGCATTCATAATAAATTAGGAGAGAATAATAGCAAACACAACTAAGAAAGTATAAAGTTAATTGATAAATTAAAAATAATAAGATAAAAATATTTGTTTAAAAGTAATTGTTGTATCATTCAATTAATGAGATAACTGGATAAATGAAATATATTATAAATATTTAATAAAATTTGTAATAAAAAATTAATTAAAAATATTTAAGTTTATAAGATATTAAGGCTTAAAATAATCTTTAAAATTGATTAAATATTAGGATACATGATTAACTAATGATTTCTACTTTGAACTTATTACATCACATAAATGTTTCTTCAGCGTAGTAGTATTCTTACAAGTGTTAATGTGTGACTTTTGGTCTATTTTTAATTGTGTGAATTTAATTAACTAAGTTTTTAGGTTAAATTATTCTATAGGTTTTGGGACCATTTAACTAATTTAAATTAGATCCTAAAACTATTTTTGTCCAGATCTTTGAATGTGCAGTTTATATATATATATATATATATTCTAATTCTTATATTTAACTATCTATACAAAAATTTAACTGAATGGTTTAATTGTATAAATTTCGACAAGGTTGTTCCAAACGTGCAAAAGTGACAATCCTAATTAGGTCACGTGGTTAAAAATTCGTAAATAAATTTACATATTTTAGAAATAGTTTAAGGATCCAATTAAAAAATTATCTAAGATCTAATTGAAAATGGAAAATAATTAATGGATTTTGCCTAACAAATGAATTTTTTTAAAATAATCAATTTTATTGAACTCCCTAGTTGGCGAGATGTTAATATCAGTGTTGGATTTGCCTTAGGAGATTAATTTTTTATTATGAGATGGAATAAATGAGATATCACTATTTTTTTTTAAATGATAATTAATTTTGGAGATTAAAAATAACTAATTACTACAGTAATTATTATAAACAATAACTATTGGTCTTTAAAGTGATTATTATTATGAAAAAAATATAATTAATGATTAATTAGACTTTAAATTAATCACTAATATTAACGATAAAAGTTTCAGCTAAAAAAAATTGATGTGTAAATTAAACCAAGTTGCAAAATCAAATGAATAAACACATACTTCCAAACTTATTTTCTATAACGCGATTGTCCAATAAAAAACAACTCACAAATGTGTAATAAAAGCTGGCGAAGCACCATAGAAATTGCAGACATCCAACTTGTATCCAATAATAATATAATAATCTAACTACTTATTTTATAATCACATCCTAAACTAATCATCATACTTAAACAAAAAAACCTCAGCGTTAATAATGGAAGAATAAAAAACAAAAAATGTTGGCTATTTCAGAAATGCCATCATCCCTTCTTTCTTTCAAATCTGTAATATCTAATCCTAATTATTTATAGTTAACTATTTATATGGTTGAAACTAAGGAAAAATTTGTCTTGTAAATTATGGAAAGTTTGAAGCTAAAAACAATGGAAATTATAATATGGTAATTTTTTAAGATGGATTAAGAGGAAAATTAGTAGTTGATTAGGGAAGAACTTAACATGGAGAGAAAGAGAAAGAGGAGAAAGGAAGGAAGATCGAGGAGGCGTGAGAATTGGACGCGGGGAGTCTTGAAGGCCACACACTCAAGGACGAATATTTAGCTGAAGATAAATTTACATCACAATCACTTTCTCTTTCTCTCTCTCAAATCTTCAACCCATTTTTTTCTCTCTTCTTTTCGATTCAATTTCAGCATGAACAACAACCACATCACCAGGTCTCAGGATCAACGGTCAAGATTTGCAAAGCCAGCCACCATCCATGGCTGCGCCCTCTCCGGTGACCTCGCCGGACTCCAGAGGCTACTTCGAGACAACCCTTCGCTCCTCAACGAGAAGAACCCTGTTGTAAGATCACATTTCCCCCAACTGGGCATCTTCAAAATGTTTGCTTTTTTGCTCATTGAACATTCAAAATTGGATCTTTCCGATGTTGTTTGTGGAAAAGTTTGTGCTTGGGTTAATGCTATTTTTTTTTAATTGAGGATTTGGATTGATATGCATGACTCTCGGATCTGCTTGATTATGACTCATGGTGACTTTACCAACCGGGGTGATATGATGGTTAAATGGTTGGCTTGTGCTTTTATGAAAGAGTAAACTTAGTAGGGTGGTAGAAAAGGATATCAATTTCATATTGGAATTACCTGATTGTACTACTCTAGTTTGATTTTGATCCTCATTTTTTGCTATACTACCGCCCCTTGTGTTCAATATCAGCTACATTAAGAATTGAAAGGATTGCACGTCGAATATGCTACCTAGACTTGATATTGCTCAGGGTGTTCCAGTTTATTGACAATTGCTTTTCACAGCATTCCTTTTAGTGGGAGATTGTATGTTTAGACTCGTAATGGAGAAGGACTATTTTATGGCTTCTCTTTGATGATCATTTGTACGGTTTTTTCATCTCGGGGTTTAGGTGACAATCATGAAATATGTAAAGGAATAGAAAGGAATTATCATATTGATGATCTATTTCTCCGATTGCTCACTTTTTATATTTCAGTATTAAGGTTTTAAAAAGTCGGGTGTAGTTCATTTGTAAATATGCTCGTTGCTTGGCTTATTTATTATAATCTATATGCTAGTGTTTTTGTTTTCTTACTTTATAGGATTTTCGTGTTATCCTCTTATATTTGATATGCCTGAGGATCTCATCTATTATAAATGCAGATGGCACAGACACCACTTCATGTGTCTGCTGGTCAGAATAGGGTCGATATAGTTAAATTTCTTCTTGATTGGCAAGGGCCAGATAAGGTTGAGATGGAGGCCAAGAATATGGTTGGTAGTCGTCAATTTTTTGAACACAAGTTGTTTTTAGAATATAAATACGTAACATATGTAAAATCTAAACTTCTAGTAATGGCCTTGGAATTCTGAAAAGGTTTATTTATCTCTGTAGTATGGAGAAACTCCGTTGCACATGGCAGCAAAGAATGGGTGCAATGAAGCTGCGCAATTACTTCTTGCTCGTGGGGCTGTTGTTGAAGCCAGAGCAAATGTGATTTTTTTGTCACTTGATATATCATTTAATTTTGTTTAAACCTAGCAACAATTGCTTTTATGCCTTATAATAATAGAAAAGTTTGTTCCTAACTCTTTCTTGCAGAATGGTATGACACCTTTACATCTTGCTGTTTGGTACTCGCTGCGATCAGAAGAATTCTTAACTGTGAAAACATTGCTTGAGTACAATGCTGATTGCAGTGCTAAGGACGATGTAATGAACTGTATTTCCTTTTTTTCATGTTATTGTAACATTTTTGGGTAAAGTTGTCATAGATGCTAATGCCAGTGAATTACAGGAGGGAATGACACCTTTAAATCATCTATCCCAAGGCCCTGGAACTGAGAAACTCAGGGAACTATTAAACTGGCATCTTGAAGAGCAGAGGAAACGACGAGCCATTGAAGCATGCAGTGAAACCAAAGCTAAAATGGACCAGCTTGAGAAGGAACTATCCAACATTGTGGGTCTTAATGATCTAAAGGTACAACTACGCAAGTGGGCAAAGGGCATGCTTTTGGATGAGAGACGAAGAGCTCTTGGCCTGCATGTTGGCGCAAGAAGACCACCACACATGGCCTTTCTTGGCAACCCTGGAACAGGTTTTTATAATATGCTCATATCGGTGATTGTTTGTTTTTAGAACATCTTGCTTGTTTTTTTCCAATCAGAATTGGAAAGATGTATTATTGTGCACTTAGCTTCATCTTCTCCATTTACCATTTCATGCTACAATATTTAGGTCCAAACTGGATGAAATTTTCAATAAACATTAATAGGAAAAAACACAAGGTAAAATGAGTGAAGTTTCCTCCATGACTTAAAATTAACTTATGCACAAGTTAAAATTGCCTTTTGGAGAAGTTAAGTGAGCGACTAACTAAAAAGGTTGAAGTGCATAAGCTGAATTTAACTTATGGCAAAAACTTGATTCATTTTACCTTAACATATGAAGAAAACTTAATTCATTCTACCATTTTGTATCTTTTTTCTCCTAAGTGTTTATCGAGAATTCATTCTAACATATGAAGAATTTCTTTTACTTGAGCAGATTGGCTTGATCTCCCATTGTATATGCACGTGCATGAACACTGAATTGGTGTAAGGGAATGATATTTAGTTCTGAGATTAATTTTTGCATGACTTGTGTATTTAATAGGTAAAACTATGGTAGCAAGGATTCTTGGAAAATTACTCCATATGGTGGGAATTCTACCTTCTGATAAAGTGACAGAAGTACAGCGTACCGATTTAGTAGGTGAATTTGTTGGCCACACTGGTCCAAAAACCAGGAGGAAGGTATGTTACTGACTCTAAAATCTTCCTCTCTGTGAAACCAAATTTTCTGCATTGCTTATTGAGTTACTTAAAAACATTCACCACAGATCATGGAAGCAGAGGGGGGCATTCTTTTTGTTGATGAAGCTTATAGATTGGTACCATTGCAAAAGTCTGATGACAAGGACTATGGGTTGGAAGCCTTAGAGGAGATTATGTCTGTCATGGACAGTGGCAAAATTGTAGTAATATTTGCTGGCTACAGTGAACCAATGAAGCGAGTGATAGGTTCTAATGAAGGTTTCTGTAGAAGGGTAACCAAGTTTTTTCAATTTAATGACTTCAACTCAGAAGAACTAGCACAAATCCTTCACATCAAGATGCATACTTTAGCAGAAGATAGTTTGCTATATGGATTTAAGTTGCATCCCGAATGCAGTATAAAAGCCTTGGCTACTTTGATAGAAAGGGAAACAACAGAAAAACAGCGAAAGGGTACAAATGGTGGATTGGTAGCTACCATGTTGGTTAATGCTAGAGAAAATTTGGACCTACGTCTCAGTTTTGACTGTATGGACACAGAAGAACTTCTTACCATCACTTTGGTAGATTTAGAAGCAGGTCTTCAGCTATTAGCACAGTAATCATTCTTTGGCATTCTGATAGATATTTTGGAGAGATTAATTTCAGCTTACCTCAATTTTCTGCAATGGATACACAAGTTTTTGCATCTACACAATGAGGAGCTTGTCATGAATTAGTATGTTACTATAGGTCGATTTTTTTGGGAAAATTTTTCCTTGTGTATTTTTGTAATTGATAATGTTATGTAGGCTTCATTCATGCACTCTGTTATATTTTTTATCTGAATAAAGATTTGTAGACACCTAATGCAAATGTACTCCTTCAGAGAAAGAAAAGTAAGAGATAAAAGTGATAGAGAAATGAGAGATGTCAAACGAGTCTTTATAGTATTTAGGTATCTATATATAAAAGTTTGTTTATTTCAAAATATGAGTACTAAATTTTGGTACATATATCAATAACTAAGATGACAATGCAGCAGAATTGCAGACTAGTTGTATTGATTTATTTTGCATAATGATTAACAATAATTTTGTTTTAATATTCACATATCCCGTAAATTTATAGTTAATAATAAAATCGAAACAAGTTAAACAAACATAAAAAAATAAAATATTTATTTCAAATAAATATGTCAAAATTAAACTTTTTATAATCAATAAAACATTAACCAGTGATAAACAAAATATGCAATAATGTGACAAATCAATGGTTTTACAAAGATGATGGAAATTCAAGCGATAAGACATGCATGTTTTATCTTATTGTTGACCAAAACTGTCTTGAAAAATAAGCACGCAATCTAAACAAGGAAAATGAACTTGTCCCCGTTAACAAAATACAAGAGAGAAAAAATTGTAAATCAGCGAAGTTACGTACAAGCCAATGATAACAAAAACTTGGAAAATTTTGCTTAAAACAGTAAGAGTTTGTTTCCCCTAAGAAAACCCAACAAAAGAAAACAAAACAAACTAAAATAGCAAGACATAGGTCAATGAAAACAAAAAAGCAAAGTTACCTGTTGAAACACTTCCTATCAAAAACCTAAAAAACCATATAGGATAATGAATTCTTATCTTTATATTATGCTCTAATGACGACTAAGACTTTTGATATAAAAACTATATAATCGTATAAAGAATTAACATTATTTTCTATTCAAAGTTTTAAGAAAATGAATTAATAGATTTCACTTTTACATGTTATTTTATTTTTTTTATTTCTATCTAATAAAATTAATACTCATATTTTCATCAATTAAGTGATAAACCATTCCTATTTGTCTAAAAAAACATAATTATTAAAAAAAATTCACAAAAAATAATAAAGTATTTCCTCTACTGTATAACTCCACTGCACTTATAAAGCAAATATTAGTTCTCATATTAGAACAAACAGGACAGAGAAAAAGAAGAGCAAAGAAAAACTTTATTATTAATTGATTCAAAAGAAAGTTTATACAAAGAAGTTATTTATAATATCTACTGACATAAGTTACAAAGTTCAGTTATAACTGATAACCAATAAAAAAAACAAACTAGAGCTAAGAAAAAAAACTTATCTTTCAAGAATTTAAAAGAAAGAAATTATAAACTGTTCAGTCTGAATTAAATAAACTGTTCAGTCTGAATATGCTGTTAATTATATTTAGTATTCTTTTAAAACCTAGTACAAAATTATATATAATTAAGTATTTGATCATTTAAAGTGTTTAAGGCTTTGAATGGTTCGTTAAAGAAAGTGAAAAAAAAATCAAAAGCGAAGGTAAAGAAAATTACTTTTCTCTTATTGATTTTTAACAGAAAGTAGGAAAGAAAAATAAGTGTTCAAAAATAAAAAAGATACGTAAAAGAGGGATAATTTGGTATTTTAATTTCCTATAATAAACTTTATCTTAAATTCTTTCCAAATTGGTAGATTACCAAAATAATTAGTTTCACTTGTTCTTTTAACTTTCTTTAGAAAGGGTCAAACGTCTAAAATATGGATACATACACAAATAAACCTCTAATCTCTTGTGCTTTTTAAAATGAGAATACTGTACTTAAATAGTACTTTTTAAAAGAAATGGATCATAAATAATTAATTTACCTAATTTTTTTTTAAATACAGTATTTTCATAAAAAATATATTTTATCCTTCTAAGAAAATAAATCTTTTCTCAACAGGAGAAAATCATATAAGAAAATTTTAAATAAATTTACATGGTAAATTGGATTAACTTTATTTTTTTGCGTGTGATAAAATTTCGTTTCATATATTTCTTTTTTAAATTCTACACAACTTTTACTAATTTATGGAATAAATATATATATATATATATATATTCATCACCAAGCTCTTCTAATTTTTATACAATTAAATGAAATAATTAAAATTTTCTGATTATTAGTGCAATTGTTTACACTTTCAATGTCATTGTGACATCCCAAATATATAATAACCACACGATTATATAACATAGACGTCAACATTCAAATAAAGAGAACGGTTAGAGCATGACTTGCGATTAAGTATGAGATTACAGTCATCCATAAAAGAAGACAGAATTTAAACTTAAATAATTTAGAGTATTCAAAATATCATGAGTTCAAAGAGAGGAAATCCTAAGTAGACTACACTGCAACATCAGCATCCTCTAGTACTTGCTCCAAAGGTATCTCCTCAACCACATTTTCTCCCATCCAAATGGATGATCATCGCAAAGGAAAAACATACACAAGCAACACACAACAGAAGCAAGGGTGAGCTAGATGAACAAGCAACATGCATAAAGTACAATCCATCAATATCATCATGTTTAGTTACATATAAAAAGAACAATAAAAGAATATCATTCAAACCATGCATTAAGTACTCAACACGACTCATCCGGATTTGTATAATTTTTGAACTATTGGTCGTCTTTGCATTTGCATAGTTCAATTGGCTCTCCTCAACACTATGCAAGGTAAATCCTCATACCAGTCTATGTCTAAACTCTAAGACTATAGACGAGGACCTCCCTCTACTCTCACAACTCACAACGTTCTTCTATATTTAAGCATGAAAAGTGATTAGAGTGTAGGGATAGACTTACCATTTCAAAGCTCCATACATTTATACAAGACAACAACACAACCTCTACAACCATTTCCAATCATCTCACCCTGAGATTTCCAAATCATACTTAATTACATCATTCTAATTCACAGTCATGTTCTTTCAAGTCACACAATCCAAATATATAAGCATACATGACACTCTGTCAAGCAAACAACATTAATCAATTCAATACACATTACCGGACAATAACAGTCACAGGAGAACCACTAAACAACACAAAACCCCGTAACTCATACTTAGACAAAGAAAATGGCTTTGAAACCATCACCAACAGTTTCAGACAGGTCCAAAACGACCTAAGGAACGTCCAAAACGGACATCCGAAACCCCAAAAACTATTAAAACAAAGAAAACAGCATGCTGGTGCGCCCAGCGCGAACCGCCTCGAATCCAGGGGCGCCAGGGCTCAACCAGAGGGCGCCCAGCCCCATACTAGTTGACAACAACCATGAAAATTGACTTTTGATGCACTTGGAACCTGTTTTAATGACTAAAGGGGGTTCTTTACACATTGGTATTGATGGGAAACACATTTATAAGTTAAAACAAACATCCATTTGATCACTAGATCTAAGACTAGGTGTATCAAACCGCTTTTGACACTTTAAAAATCCAAATTCACTTCTACAAGTGGCCCAATTTCAATTCTACTCTTAGATCATGAGTTTGACCACTCTGACATTCCTAATAAGTAACAATATACCTGGAATACTACCCCAACAACCCACTTACACCCCAGACCTCAATTGCCCAAAAAAACTACTCCACTTCCTTTAAACTCACTCGAAAGCACCAATTTCACTTAAATCACTACTTATTAACTAGCATAACACATTTCGCCTCATCAACAAGCGCAATTCCCGCAAAACATCATACATAGCATACAACAAATTTTAACCAAACTCTAACTCCCCTTACCTTGGTGGTTATAAGCACAACACTTTAGAAGAACCCCAAAGCAGTAACCCTCGCACATAAACAAGTTCAACAGGACCCGTCGAAATGAAGAAAATGTTCGGTAGAAATGGAGCCCTCTACGCCGCAGACACTTGGGCAGCACCTAAATCAAAATCTTACGGTTCAGTGAGGTGGAAATGTAGAGAGAAGACAAAGCAAGGTTAGGGAAAATAAGAGTTCTAGAGAGAAAAGGAAAAGTTGGCTAATGAACTCAAGTTTTGAAAGGTCCATTCTAAGGTTATGGTGTCCTTAGTTTTTACTGAATGCCTCAACATAAGGTCCAATAGTCCTACATTTTTCAAGCCCTTACGGTCATGATAAATAATCTTACATATATTTTCTTTTCTTAAAATATAGTAACTTTTTTTGGTATCTAATAGGAATTTTATTTGATTTTTAAATAAATTTATTTTGTATTGACATATTTCTGTGATCATAATACATATAAACGAAAAGAACACGATCAAAATTTTAAAAGGATAAATAAATCCAGTAATGTTTTTGGATAATTTAATGGAGTTACTATTTTATGAACAAAATGTGACAATAATTTTTTTATGAAGAAAAAATAAATTCAAACATACTTATATCAAAGCATGTTTAAGTCTAATAAATTATTTTAAAGATAATTATTACGAAATCTAATCTTTGTTATTAAGTAAGAGTAATTTGGAAAAGAGAAGTTTCACGTGGCGTCATAAATTTAAAAAAATAATAACAAAGTTAAAAAAAAAGTTGATAATTTATTACTTTACACAGAAATTGTGTACATAAATAAATAGAGTCCACCAGAAGCTAAAAAATTCAGATATTTTTCTCTATTAACAGGTAAAAAATATAAAATGCGGAAGGTCAAATAACATAAAAAAATAGAAGATATTTAATAAAATTTTATTCGTCACTAGCGGTGAGTGTAAGTGGTAACTGCAATAACCGAACAGCACGGTGGGTTTTTCGGTGACTGAAAAACCAAATCCTATATTTCTATGGTTATCCAAACACTTCTCTATGTGGTTGTGTTGCAGAGCATAGAAGAAGAAAAATGGTGTTAGCTTCAATTTCAATTGTATCTTCTTCATCTTCATTCCTCTCTGATTCTCCTTCCACTTCCGCTTCCACCAAAACCAGACCTTTCCTCTTCCCTTCCTCAAACCGAACCTCTATTTTCGGCTTCCCCAGAGCACCCCTTCCCAATGCTACCATCAGAGCCTCATCGCCCTCTTCTTCTTCCGCTTTCACACCGC